TAAGGGGAAGCTGTTGGAATATGTTACAACAAATTAGTAGTGCCAGCACCATAGTGAAAACTGAAAATGTGAATGCTGGTATGGACCACTGTTGATGTGGAAATGAATTGCTAAGCTGGAGAATGGTTTATCAAATTAAATCTCAACACCCCCTTTCAAGCTGGAGGGCAATGGAATGACTCCAAGCTTGTCTTTTAGGAAGAGGAACCTGGAATGGGAGAGTCCTTTTGTTAACAAGTCCGCAATTTGATCTGAAGATGGAACATACTTTACTTCCAATTCCTTTTTCAGCGCCTTATTTTGGATGAAGTGGACGTCTAATTCAATATGTTTTGTCTGGTATGGTACAGGGATTAGCCGCCAAAGCTCCTGCACTCATGTTGTCACACCCAAGGATTAGAGTTGGTCCAAGAGGCAATTCCAGCTACTTGAAGAGTGATTGAATCCAAGTGATTTCGGAGGCTGCGGATGCAAGGGCTCTGTACTCCGATTCGGTGCTTGATCTAGCAACTACATGTTGCTTCTTTGATTGCCATGCCACCAGGTTTTCTCCCAAATAAATGCAATATCTAGCAGTTGACCTCCAGTCATCTGGACAGGAAGCCCAGTCAGCATCTGAGTATCCGCTTATCTCCATTCTATCATTTTTCTATATCCAAAGTCCCTAATTGATTGTGCCTTAAAGATACCTAAGTACCCTTTTTAGTGCTTGCCAGTGAATTGAGGTAGGAGATTGTAAAAATTGGCTCAATTTATTTACTGCAAAGGTGATATCAGATCTGGTATGAGTTAGGTACTACAACCCTCCTACAGCACTTCGATAGACAGAAGGATTTTTCAGAGGTTCACCATCAGTTTTAGACATCGTTTTGCTTGCAAGATGGGAGTTGGACATGGTTTAAGATTTTCAAGTTCAAATTTTTTGAGTAGCTCACCAATGTATCTTGTTTGAGTGAGATGAAGTTCTAGTTCATGCCAATGTACTTCAATTCCCAGGAAGTGGTGAAGCTGCCCCATATCTTTGAGTACAAAATTTTTATTCAGTTCATTTATGAATCTCTGCATCATCTCTGAATTGTTACCTGTTACCATAATGTCATCAACATAAATGAGTGCAAAGATAATTTGGCTTTCAGTTTTGAGATAGAACAAGGATGTGTCTGCAATTGATTGCTTGAAGCTCCAGTTCAATAGGGTCGATTTAAGCTTATCATACCAGGCCCTTTGTGCCTGTTTCAGCCCATAGAGTGCTTTCTCTAGCTTACAGATATGACTAGGTTTCGATTTATCTTCAAAACCCTCAGGTTTATTCATGTAGACAACCTCTTCAAGCTCACCGTTTAGGAAAGCATTATTTATATCAACCTGTCTAATTTTCCATCCCTTTGATACTGCCATGGAGAGTATAACTCGCAGGGTTGAGGATTTGAGCACTGAGCTGAAAGTTTCCAGAAAATCTATGCCAGGTTCTTGGTGGAAACCTTTTGCTACTAGCCTTGCTTTCAACCTCTGGACAGAGCCATCCGAGTTCCTTTTTACTCTGAAGACCTACCTATTTCCCACTATGTTGTAATCTAATGAGAAGGGAACAAGCTTCCAGGTCTTTGTTTTCATTAAAGCATTGAACTCTTCTTCCATGGCACTCTTCCACTCCTTACTTTTCATAGCTTCACTGACATTTTTGGGTTTAGGTATTTCAAAGGTAACTTCAGATGATTTTCCCAGAAAAACCTTTGGTTTGTATACTCCTGCTTTTCCCCTTGTAATCATAGGATGTTCTATCAGATGTTTTGCCGGTTGTTGAAGTTCTGATAGCTGCTGGCTAGCAGTGAAGTTTGTTTCAGCTCTTTCAAAGTCCTGAGGTTGTTCAGCTGCAACATTTAGATTTAATTCTTGGCTGCTCATATCTCTAATCAAATCAAGAGGTTCATCACCTTCATCATACTCTCCTTCAGACTGATTGTTATGTGGGCTAGGAGGAGTGTGATGTGCTGCATTGATTGCCTCTAGAAGAACTATATCAGCAGGACTTGATATAAGTTGAGTGTTATGTGATTGAGATGGAAATTGAAAATAAGACACAATGGTTTCTGAAGTGGTAGAAGTTTGTTGGTTTTGATTTGAAAACATAGACTCGAAAGGGAATTCAAGTTCATTGAAAACCACGTGCCTGGAGATATAGATTTTTCCAGTTGAAGTTAGACATTTGTACCCTTTGTGAGACTCACTATAGCCCATGAAAACACACTTAACTGAATGAAAACTGAGCTTATGTTTTTGATAGGGCCTAAGACAAAGATAGCAAGTGCAGCAAAAAAATTTCAGAAATTTGAAGTCAGTTTCTTTTCCATAAAGAGTAAGAACTGGTGATTTATTCTCAAGAACAGGAGTTGGCAGTCTATTGATAAGATAAGTGGCAGCTTGAAATGACTTCCACCAGTATTTTAATGGTATTTTTGTTTGTGCTAGAAGTGTGAGGCCTGTTTCTGTGATGTGTCTGTGTTTCCTTTCGATCATACCATTTTAAGCTGAAGTGAGTGGACAGGGATGTCTGAATTCAACACCTTCTTGTGCAAAGAATTTGGTAAAAGCTCTATACTCTCCTCCCCAATCGGATTGAAGAATTTTGATTTTCTTCCCAAGCTTATTTTCAACTAATTTTTTATATTGAATGAATACCCCCAGAGCATCAGATTTTTGCTTAAGATGGTAGATCCAAGAATACCTACTGAAATCGTCTAGAAATGTTATGTAATATCTGAAGCCACAAGTTGATGGGATTGGTGCTGGTCCCTATAGTTCTGTATGTACAAGTTCGAGAGGTATTTTTGCTTGTGAAGTTGAAAGAGAAAAGGGCAGAAGGTGGGATTTCCCAAACTGGCAAGCATCACAGAAGGAAATACTTTCATTCGTCTTTAAAGTTTGATTACAAAGTTTGAGGACCTGAGACATCACTTGGCTAGAAGGATGTCCAAGCCTCTTATGCCATACATTAGCTTTGAAATTTAAAGATTTCTGACTTGACTCTAGACTGGGATTGGAAGATAGAGCACTGCAGCAGTAGTTATTTGAGTAGACTGAATACTGATGGTGAGTTTTGGTGTTTTGTTAAGGTAAGTCAAGCTGATATAGCCCTTCCTTAAGTGTCCCTTGCAGCATCACTTCCTTCGTTAGCTGATCCTTAACAAAACAGTAATTAGAGTAGAATTCCATATAGACTTTATTATCAGAAGTCAATTGAGAAACACTAATTAAATTTTTCTTGATTTCAAGTACAAGAAGCATATTGTTTAAAACAAGAGTTCTGTCATTCATAGTTGGGAGATGACTATTACCAAAGTGTGAGATCTGGAGTTTGTTTCCATTTCCAACCATGATTATTTCCTTACCAGTGTATTCAATTGGTGAAGTGAGATTCTATTTATCTGAAGTAATGTGGCTGCTGGCTCCAGTATCAGCAAACCAAGCTGGGTCTTCAGTGTGTTGGGAGTTGTAACATAGACTACTGGTGAAGATGAAGAATTATAAGTTGATCTGTAGTTTGGTGGTGCACCTGTGTATCTTTCATAGAACCTGAAGTTGCATATATTAGCTTTATGACCAGCTTTTCCACACACTTGGCATATGGGCCTATCACTGCCAGGCATGTCACTACCATAGAAGGTTGTACCTCTGTTTCTCCCTCTTCTTGCTCCTCTGAAACTGCTGTAACCAGAGAATCTTCCATTTGAGTGTGGTCTACTAGATCTGAAATGGTGATAATTCGAACTAGATCTCTAAGAAAAATTTGCTGAGGCATGATGGTCAAGGCTAATTCCTGCCATTTCATTTCTGACTAAGTTGAGATGATCCAACCTACTTTCAAAGGTCATCATGTAGACTGTAATTCGCCCCAGGTAATCTTATCTCTGCTATTGATCTGAACTACAATTGGAGTCTAATCTTCATCCAAGCCTGCAAGGACTTGAGTTATGAGATCAAAGTGAGGAACAGCTTTTCCTGTGATTTCCAGATTATCTGCTAACAGTTTTACTTTATTGAGGTATTGATCTACGCTCATAGCCCATTTTCTTGATTTTTGAAGTTCACGAGTGAGGAAGGTTATCCTGGATCTATTCTGAACTCCATAACTTTTCTTAATTGTCGTCCACAGCTCGTTAGAGGTTTTTGCTCCCATAACCCTCATGGCTATATCCGGAGTCATGGAGGAGTAAAACCAGCCCATCAGTAGCTGGTCTGTTGATCTCCATTGGGTATGTTCTGAATTTTTAGTCATTTCGATGCTGGCTCCCATTTCACCAACAACCTGAACTCCAATAAATTCTGGTGGGCACAGCTTTGTCCCCAGAATATATCCTTCAAGGTCATGTCCCTTGATTATAGGGAGTATCATATTTTGCCAAAGAAGGAAATTGTTTTTATCCAGCTTAACTGAGACCACCTGGGTCAAATTCATGCCAAAAGGTGAGGTGTTGCTGATTCCTTGCATTGCACCAGTGTTGCTACTTGAGATGGATGCTGGAGCAAAGTTAGCATCAGTGTTTGGTTGGGAATCACCGGCGTTTGCCATTTAAGTGGCTCTGATACCAAGTGAGAATGCAAATAAGTTGAATAATGAATTGGCTCAAGCTTGAATAGTTTTATTGAGCTGCAATGCGGTATAAATATGTACATGAGGAAGATTCTAGATGATACAATGATTGGTTCCTAAATAAGGGGAAGCTGTTGGAATATGTTACAACAAATTAGTAGTGCCAGCACCATAGTGAAAACTGAAAATGTAAATGCTGGTATGGACCACTGCTGATGTGGAAATGAATTGCTGAGCTGGAGAATGGTTTATCAAATTAAATCTCAACACAAACCATACATCTAACCCGTAAAATTCGCAATCAAATGGAGGCCCACATAATAAAATTATTCCAACAGATGATTCAAGTCAAACTCTACAGGCTTGATTCTTAGGATCTTCAGTGGTCAGTATATAAACTCAATCCACTTCAAAGGTTCTGATTGCAAAGTAATTGCAGTTGCTGTAAACTTTCAGGGTGAAATGCAGCTCCATTTCTTTTGAAGCCAGAAGGTAGGAGAGTATAATGTCTTCTCACATTTGAAGTAGGCACGGATGAATCACTGGCTATAATCTGCTGCTGCTGCTGTGGTGGCAAAATTCCCTTATACTTTGAGTCGAGTGAAGAACGGAAATGTGGGAAGAAGGCCTGGTCATAGTTAATCAGGGAACTCGAGTCTCTTCCTCCGTTTTGCCAGTCGGGCAAATGAGGAGCAGTGAAACCAGGAATGTATTGGGTAGGAATATCTGCCATCCATTTCTGCTGCTCATCGGACTTCGACTGTTGTCGTCCAGGAAATGTGGCATCTACATGTGAAGGACCGCCAAGTGTGCTGCTAAGGTATGGAGGTAGCTGTATCTGCATGGTTAAATCAAACAGAAAATGCATTGTAATTATATATTCATAACTTCTAGTTATTAATAACAAAGTACTATGCAATTGTAGCATGCATTTTTCATTCTCTCTTCACTGTGGCTGGACCATTTTAGATAAAAACCTTACATTAGCAAGGCAGTTTTACATACAAGATCCAACAATTAGTAAGCATCCAAAAGCGTCTCAGAGGAGGAAGCAAAACAAATGCGAAAAGCGTTGGAGTGTGCAACGCAAGTCACCTGCTGTGCTGCTGCAGTTGAAGGACGACCCGGAAAAGTAGAGGAATAACCATTATGGGGCAGTGATAAAAGCATGGCTGATTGATTTTGCGGCTGCATGTATGGAACATGAAATTGTTTTAAAGCTTCATGACTGTGACCTGTTCTGTTGATTCTATCACTGGAATCCACATCACAATCTCCAACAGCCAATGACAAGAAATCAGAATCCTGCAAAGCATATAAAATTTCAGAAAAAAGGAGAAAAAATTCAACCCCGATAGTTTTGAAAGTAAACCCACCTGTTTCTGCAAAGTGCATAACCCAGGTGTTGTAGGACCATGATGCTGACCTTGAAGGAGCCTCTTATACAAAAGAATAGCCTGTTTTATTTCTGCTGAATTCTTCTCAGCAGCAGAATGCGCTACATTGTTAAAAGAGGCCACACAGTTTGAACCATTTCTTCGATTTGTTTGGCTGTTGACACTCACACAAGGCCATAAATTCAAACCTTCATTCGCTGATGAGTGAGTGGGCTTCTCCTGTAACCCATCTTTTCTCTCTGTTATTTGCAAGGCCTTAATGAGACGAGCTATGTAAACATGGGCAGACCATTTCTTCCATGACTTCTTTGACTCAAAAGGAACTCGAGAATCCTGGCTCATCAACTATTAACAGAAGGTGCAGGTAAATATTCCATTTCAAAGTATACATTGATCATAATCTTAAAAAATCGCGTCTCATATCTTAAAACAGCACTTGAATACCTTTTCGTCAGTAACACTTTTTTCACAGGAACGAGGCTGAGCAGCATAATTTGTCTGGCCAAACCAAGCAGGAAGTTTTGTAGTTGATCTGAAATTAATTGGCATGGGAAACATGAATTCTATCTGATAAGTTCGAAGCTAATATAAATTTCAGGAATAAAACTTACTGTAGGCAGGATCCTTGTGTCTGGGAACTCAGAGATCCTGTTGGATCTGAGCCAGGCCATAAAGATATATCTAGGTTGGAAAACCGAAGCTTATATGAATATGAATACATGATAATGGATGCCTACACAATGTAAACAAAATCCACTTCCAAGCACAAATCACGACCTCATGTGAAAAAACAATCACTGAATTGAAAATTTACCGTTAATTTTGTTCTCTGTGAAAGTATGGTGCGTGCCATTTTGGATTCCAACCTGAAAAACAATCAAGCCACCATCTTAATCATACACTAGTGAGAAATAGGTCGACCCTGAATTTTTAAAGCATACCTGTTCTAGCGTAATTGGCAATTCACCGCTTGGAGTAGCATCAAGAGTTGGCATCTTTAGCCTGCCATATGTCAACGCAAGTCTAAATCACAAAATAAGAGACGACGAAGATATTACAGATCATGGGAGAAAAGGATTGCCCACACACATAGGCACCAGACTTCGCTCCAACTGAACACCAGAAGCACCGGTGGTGGCTGAATCCCCGTTGAATGGCAAGTCCAGTTGTTTAGCATCACCTGAAGAGTGGAATTTGACAACTTGTACTGTTGACTCTGGCAAATTTGATGGAGAAAGGGTAGCATCCACAATGACTCTTGTGCTAATTTTCTTAGATGCTTCTCGAGGTGTTGAAATTGCAACATCTGTTCACAGTGGCGATTAGTATGGGAGAATAGACAAAAAAAAAAGAAAAAAAAATGCAAATAAAGTCGTAAAACAGAACAATGTGGCAACCAAAAATACTAAAACAAACCTTTGAGCACAGGTTCTGAACCCTTTGCTCGCTGCAAAGGCGAAGACTTTGGTTCTGAAGTTTCACCATCTAATCCCAGATTCTTAGTTTTTGTAGTGTCTGGGACCATACTGGCCAAAGCATACAAGGTCTCTGCCACTTCTTCCTCATCCTTGGTGACATGTTCCTGTTTCTGCAAAAAGAAATTCCCTAAATCATAGAGTTAAAATGTTAAATTTTCTTTCTTCCGTTTTGGGTGAAAAAGGCTCGGTATAGTTTGAAGTTTCTGTTATTATCTTGTCTTACCATCTTTAGTTTGGATTTCTTTGAACTGTATTTTCTACTTAAATCAACTCCATTAGACACATGATTCAGCTTCCTCGAAATTGGCAAAGGCGGAGTGATAGATTCATGCCCTCGCTTCTTTATGGCTGCAACATTTAAAAATATAATGATCTGAAACCTTATTATAAACTCTCGAGAAATGACCATATCTATCTTCTAGAGTAAATCTTCTGTCTTATTTTTAGTCAAACAATTAATAGTTGGTTAGAAGTCATATTCACATTTTATCAAGCTTATAGACCAATTTCAAAATTGATAATTCAGCATTCAAAGAAGTAAACGCAGAGAATCTTCCAAGCACATAATATAAGATAGCCGCTACAGATAGAGGCATTCCAAAAAAAAAAAAAAAAAATCTTTCCTAAAACAGAACTGAAAATAACCTAACCGGGCAAAGTGAATAACTGAATCGGTCGGTTCAATTAGTTAACCATGTATAACCGGACCATCGGAAATGGTTATCCAATTCCAAAGGTTTGATCCAGGTAGCAAAAATGATATGGGTTACGACAACCGAACTCTACAATCAACCCCCGACTGCTAAGAAAGAACATAATCCGAAACAAATATATCTCACTTGATCATTAATGATTTAACCACTTTACTCTTGAAGTTTAAAGCCAAAGGTTCATCTATTGAAAATAATGCTCATCGTCAAAATTAAAGAATCAAATTCATATAATTAGTAGTTGTTTTAGGTAAGTGCAGAGTACATACTTCAATACCTCAAGAAAAAGGAAAAAGCAATATACAGCATCTTCCATTGCCACAAAAGCAAGAAAAAGAAAGAGAAGGAAACTTCTAATCTAAAAAACAAAGCGTAGTAGAAAAGAAAAGGGAATTTCACGGAAGAAACACTCTAAATATTACAAAAACAGCTAAAAATATATAATTTCGACAATAGTAATACATAGTAATGGATTATATATACCTGACCGTAGCTTCCGAGGAACTACACCACACTCGTCAAGAAACTGCAAGAATCAAAATTTTGAAAAAATTAAAATAATTGAAAATATGCTCATATACTTTAATTCAAAACCCATCATAACCAATTAATTTACCTTCCCAGGAAATTTGCGTTTCTTGCTAACACTGTTACTGAGCTGAAACTCATCTTCTCCATCACAACCAACAGAACCCATTTTACACTCTTTCTCCACTTGAAGTTCACTTAAATTGTAATCTGAACCTTAAAAACTGAATACATCAACAAATAGAAGGAGAAAATTTGAACAGACAAGCAACAGGCCAGAAGAAGAAACGATATAAAGGAGAAGAATATAATGAGACACGTAGCATATGAAAAGTAACCATCGCAAAAACCAAATAACAGTTCAACAAACAAGAATATACACAGATAGAGACGAGCTCAATTGATGGCTTTTTGTTGTTTAGTAAATGTAAATTATATATGAAATAGGGGATCTTTTGGTAATTTTAGAATAATTTTCCAGATATGAATTTGATAATCATACCAAGAAATGCTCAACGCAACCGAGTGGATAACTCACAGGCCTCTGGTTCTCAGTGTTGTCACCTTCTGGGATAATAATAACAAATAACAATAAAGACAGTGACACATGGGATTCACTTGAAAGCTGCTATAAAGGTCGAAACATCTTCAAATTCAATAAATGCATTCGGATGAATCAGATCTCTCTCTCTCTCTCTCTCTCAAAAAATAAAAGTAAATTCAGGTTTTTCCGAGAACAATTGGTGGAGAAAATCTGCAAAGGAAAAATATTTAACGGAATGTATAAACTTGCCTATTTTATTAAGAAAATATAAGAAATACTAGTTTATGGTACTAATAAAGATGCAGTACTACTGGTAAAGAAGAAACAGCAGGGAGGTTTGTCGAAAAAGATAGGAGTAGAAAAGTAAAGGCAGGGAGGTTTGTTGAAAAAGATAGGAGTAAAAAAGTAAAGTAACGTTCAGAGAATCAGGTTCTTCTTCACTTGATAAAAGGACTATCCACAGAGAGAAATAGAAATGCACGGATTTTACAAGAAAAGCTAAACAGGAGATTCAGGTGAGAGAGAAAAAGGTAAAAATGTCGATAGTAATAGAAATTCTTGGAAAATTAATCACAATATGCCATTCAAAATACCCAAAAAAAGAAAATTATTTGCTGTTGCTCTGCATTCAATGACATACTTGAAAACAATTCTAAATTCAGTGAAATCTGAAAGAAGAAAAGTATCTGACTTGAACCAAAAGAGATTGACGAAAAAACTCATAAACCCATATGAAAATGAGTAATTCAAAGTTTCAGGTTACCTTTATTTCTTCAGCACTGAAATCAAAATCCAATGAGAGAGAAATAAGATAATCAGTGTAGAGGTTGTTGGAGTACTAATGAAAAGAGAAAGGCAATTCACATCCTTTAATTGCCAGAAGAATCAAGAATTCGAAAAGTGAAAATGCACACTCTCTGTGTGCATAGAGTTCAGATTTTCAGACCACTCTCTTCACTCATTCCTAACAGACGGGAATAAAATGAAACCGCTGGTGCTTTTGAGGCTTGAAAAATCGCGTTGAAATAAATAAATAATAGAAAACGATTAACTATTTATAACTGACAATAATGACGTCATCTTGTAATCGACGGCCTTATTCAGTGATAACCGATACCTCACAGCTGTTAGACAGAAAAAAGACTAGGAAATTCCACGTGTCAGCCAGATAGGACAGAGGCCATAGTAAGTGATGACGTGTTACCTCTCTACATTGCTTTCCATGCAAGTATGATGAAGTGGATGGGGTGAGCTACTGCATACTAGTAATGCTATTCATTGTGAAAATTATCGATAGTCGTATTACGTGATGTATATATGACGATTTATGATTTGATTCATTAATGTAGTAGTATTTTATTGACCCGTGCATCAAATTACAACCCGTCACACATGTCAGATAGAGCGATCATCGATAATTTTTATTATGAACAACATTACACAATGCATACTGCCGAGTCTTTTGGACTAAATAATCCACGCCGCCTATGAAAACATGGATTGATATAAATGTTGATTTTGCCTCTATTTGGTTGTGAAAAAAAAAATTATTTTTAATATATTTATTAAAACTTTATAGAATATGTGATTAAAATGGATAAATTTTATATAAAATTTAAATTATTAAATTATTTTATTTACTTTTTGAGCTGAATCAAAAATAGAATAGCTTCAATTATTTGGAGAGTGCGATGATTACTTATTGTTTGTGCGGCTTGGCGTGGGAGTCATGTCCGATGCGTGTCACCGGTTTTATTCACTAGTGTGAATTTCAATCTTCACCCCATTTGAATTTCTAGAGGAGTATGGTAGTAAAAATGACGCTCCATATTTAATAAAAAATTTACACTTTTCATCCTCAAACTTTGCGAAATGTTACCAATTAAACCGAAAAGTAGATCAAACCAAGATAATTATTCAAGGTTTAAAGCTTATTAACCTAGGACGAGGATTGCCATCGACAATTCCAACATAGACAAGGACAAACATGGATAAATGTTAGAATGAGAGTTGATTGATCGATCAATCAGGGCACTTGCGCCGGCCACCATGAATAGTCATGTAGTAGTAACAGAAGCAAGCTTCTTGGTTACCAGAAGTGCCGGGAGCAAGTCCCGCACGCCCTCTTGCACATGTTTTGCATTGAAGCCAGCGTACACCTTGTTGCACATACTTCTCCACACTCTACAACACAATCAATCAAATTTATGATGAGAAAATTCATCATGTACTCTATATAAAACACGTTAAAGATCGATTTATGTATATAAGTTACTTATTTTCGGGACAAAGGAACTCCCTGCACCATTGTCATTCATCTGTGTAACAAATACCACTATATAAGCTTCTAGATTTAGATATATTTAGAAGAATTATACAAAGAAAAGAAGGTATGTTTTATCAGTTTAAAGGGAGTATATGCTTACCTTCTGATAATTTTCAGCTTCAACTGTATATAAAACAAGAAGGGTGTGAGAGTTGTGTTTCTCCAAACACATTTAAAAATGGTGATATTTGTGTCAATTGCCGTCTACTGCTTATTTGGTTAATGCTACTTATGTGGCATCTATTTATTGGTAGCTGGGCATTCACACGGATTGTGCTAGTTTAAACTGATTTGGACCCGTTAGATGAAATCAATGGCTGAGATTTATTCATGTGATAATATCGTCTGCTGGGTTACTGTAGAGTCATTTTACTTTCTGATTCTGGACTCTTCGTTTTCTCTCTCTTTGGCTCCTCTATTTTTCGAGTCTGTAATTTTCTTCTTGTTCGGTTTTCTATAATTGATCTAGCTGTTTAGAAGATGAATCTTTGGTGTTAAATCATGCCTGAAAGAGTGGTTGATTTCGTGTAGGTTTTCTCCTAAGTGTTGGGTTAGATCTATGTATTTTACACCCTCTGTTTTAGGAGATCGTTTTTTGATCGGTGACTAAAACGGAACTGAGTGGTTTGATGTAATCTCTCTCTCTCTCTCTCATGGAATGTAGTTTTTGCACTAGTGGAACGTGCTGTTACTGAGCCCCCCAGATTAGGCTATTTTGGCCGAGCTGGGTAAATATTCTTTATGTTGTGCGTTTGATGCTGTTATATTTTAACTTTGACAAACTATTTCACTGTAAAATCCCAACAAAGGGGAATCAGAAACAAAACTAGCAAAGGTTTAGAGAGGGCCATGGCTAAAACACTTTCAGAATGGTAGAGGAAGAATAAGGAGGTTGCCTAACAAAGAAAATCTTAAGCCTATATCTTCTAATTCACATAACAAGCATTTTTCTTTCCCAAGTGATTCTCTGTTTGTTTGAGCTCATTTCTCAAAACTCATTTTTAATCTCACATTTCATGAGATTCAAAACTTTTATCAACTTTTCAACCGCACATTTTATCAACTTTTTAAATAATCTACTAAAAATCTAGTTATTATCAAAATCAAATAGAGGGCGTAGTTTGTTATGCGTCATGTTTTTTTATGGATAGAAGGTCCGATTTTATGTCCCCTCCACGTTTCTTTTTTTTTGCAAGGTATGCAGGGTTATGAACTAATGCAAATGTTCTTCCAGAAAAGGGAAAATTGAAATGGGGGTTTAGAGCATGTTGAAATGAAAGGTTGAGTTTAGAACAAAATGAAGGGGATAAAAACATGAAATGAGAATTAAATATTATTTTTCCTTTTTTGATTTCTTGGGAGTTTAATCTTTTAAATGTAAAAGGCGAATGGGAAAGTTAATCCGCTTGACAATTTGGATCAAGTTAATGCGAATTGGTGAGAAGTCGACTTGATTATTTGACGATCCCAAAAGATATGTTCTTTACAAATCGACCTCACGTACTTCGACTTTGCTTAAGCCTGCAAACCCTAGCGAACGAATAAGCTAATGGACATATCAAAGACTAAAGGAGAAATCATGGCGAGCTCAATGGGATGAAAGATGCATACTCACAACTTAATCAGCCTATCTAAATCTTGTATTGTCGTGTGTTTATCATATTGACACAATGATGTAATATTCTTCCAGAAAAGGAAAAAAAAAAAAAAGGTAGTTGGCGTATAGAGCTCTAGAATTTTAATTAAACTAGCTGGAGAGCAATTTAGTGAAGGACAAAATTGAACTAGTTCGATGTTATTCTTTACTTAATTACTTCTAACATTTTGAAGTATAAATCGTATAACTAAAATGTATTTAATTTGTTAACCAAAAATTTGAAATTGAGTGTGGGGACAGCACACCTTCCGAGCCTTCCATTGTATAATTTCTTTTTGCCTTTTTCTCATGTACCGTGTAAACTGTAAAATAAGAAAAGGAGAAAAAGTTTTGAACTTTGAAGAATAAAAAAAGCTATAGGAAGATAAACTTATGTAATTTGAAGTTTGAAGAAAGAACATGATATCGAGAACATTTTGATGACAACGAGTTTACTTTTTCATTTTCTTTTGCTAAATTAAAGGATTACTTTTTTAGGTCAAAAAATAATTGCGTTTTTGGGATTTTCAAATTTGGGATTTTTGTATTTGNCAACAAAGATATATGCTGATAAAAATAAAATTTACATGATGACAAGATTATTATAGGTGAAAAATAGTATGAAATATTAGAAAGGATATTCAGTTTAACTCAACCTAACAA